GTGTATTGTGAACTTGTGCTTCTATCCATATCTTCTTGAACCGGTGGCGGTGCGTATGTTGAATCATCGGGATCTTGGTATGTTGGCATTGATGACATAGACGTTGCTCCTTGCTCTTCAGTTTCCATCACAAATGCATCCATTGTTAGTCTTCTCTGATTATGTTGATCGTGCATGAACTCTTTGAGGCGTTCGGGAACCCAGCCGCATGCACATGGAGCTGCCTTCAAATCGCATTTACATGTTCCAATGTAAAAAATTGTTTCCAGAGATTTTACATACTCTGTAAATTGTTGGGTGGTGTTTCTTCTCTTGATTTGCTCTTGATACTTGTCAAGCAATTTATTCAATTTATTAAATACACTTTTTTTCAGCATTATTTCCATACCAAGTTTTTCCCAAATTCCAATCAACTTATCTTGTACTTGAATAGTGAATGATTTATGGGAAAACTTTTTTTGTTCTGTTTTAGCACGTTCGCTTAAGTAAAAATAATATCTCAAGATATCCAGATGGGTTGGTAAATTAAGATCAGTTAAATCAGTAGACACACCAAAAACAGTAACATCATGCTTGGGTATATGACTCATTGGGTTTTCGATAGTTGTTGATGTAGTTGCTTCATCTTGCGGTGTAGAGGATGGTGGATTCATTGTAAACTTTTTGATTTGGAATGGTCACTTCACTTATTATTTTTTTTGAAATATTTTTTTATCTGAAATTAGCACTTCACACTTTGAGTTCTTCACAACGACTTAATGCATTCACAAAAACTGTTGCGTTATATATGGTCTACGAGACGAGGTAATAAGAATGAAATGGTAATTTCAATTCTACCTGCTGTGTCTTGTGGTGGCTTAAAAAAATCAACACAAGCAATTTTACGATCTGCAATTGTGTCACAGTGATACCTTCATTGTTTAAAAGGGTTGCGGTGCCTTCCAGTGATACCTTAATTGTTAAAATGGTTGCAAAAAACGCGCAGATGCCTTAAAATACCCACAAAAAGGGTTGTAAAAACAACCTTTATTTCTTAAGTAGGTGCTATAAAAAAACTACACAAGTAAGTTTACGACATGCAGCTGTGTCTTAAAAAACGCACACAGAGCAATTTTCCGATTTGCAATTGTGTCACAGTGATACCTTCATTTTTTAAAACGGTTGAATAAAAAACCCACACAACTATGTTTACGACATGCAAATGCATCACAGTGATGCCTTGGTTTTAAAAGGGTTGTAAAAACGCTAATTTCTAATAATTTTTTTTAATTTCTTTTCTATTACTAAGTTAAATTCATTTTTTCATTTACATATGTTCTGACTAAATAAATTTCTAAAGAGAAAAATAAACTCCAAAAAGAAAAAACATAGGCATTTCGCTGATTTTTTCAGTAAAGTGCAAAACCGGCGATTTTTTGAAATGTTTGTATGGTGAACCCCCAGGGGGTTCCAGGGGGTGTGCCACTGGCATCGGTGGGTCGGGCCTCCAAAGTTAGTGGGAGTCGGTCATACATTTGGACTCGATTGGAGCACTCTAAATGGGTCAAAGTGGGATTTTTCAAAATTTGCCCCTACCCAAAAGTTCGACCCAAATTGGGGGACATCAGAATTCGTTTTAGAGGTATGGTTCCTTCGGCAAAGTTTCTTATTTTGATCCTAGAATATGATTTTCACAGAGCAATGGGCGATTTTTTTGCCTCCCCACAAATCGACCCGGCCTAATAAATATGCATGTTATGTACGTACATATTTATGTATACAACTTTCAAAAATATTGTACTAAATAACCTATGCTTACTTTTATAAATAAATTTTATTTTTTTGCGTTCTCTGGTTACACCTTGCTCGCTTGCTCGTCCGCGCGGCAAGCGGCATGAAGGCAAAAGCACCCGTGGCAGGAGCGAAAAAAATTTACAACTAGCGACTCCGTGCAAGTTTCCGTGATTTTTTTCTTTTAAATTATGTATTATAGAATAAGGATTGATATTCAATGTAAACGAAAAAAAGTTAATAACAATAACTATTGTAAAACTTCGAATTTCGCAAAATTGCTCAAAGTTATTTTTTATGGTTGTTAACCGAATTAAGTGATTTGTGCGAAAAAATCTTGACCGTGCAATTTTGGGTGGCCCACTTGAGAGATTTTCACTCATAACGCTGTTTGCAAGTGGCCTACTCAATTTTCCTTTCAATATAATTTATTTATTTGCTACATTAAAAAGGATCATATCTTCGTGTTTTTTTTTTTTTTTTTTTTAATAAGCAAAACAATCAACTTCTTGAATTCTGTTGGAATCTGGAGAAAATCGAAGTGGATCGTGGGTAACGCGGAATAGCGTGGTAAATTTCTAATTCCTATAAGGTGGTAAATCAACCACGATCGTAGCAAAGTTCTAACCCCGGTAGTTACAATTAGTGCAGCCCCAAATTAGCTCCTATGGCATTTCATAAACATGTAATGTATTATTTCTCGGTGGTGTTGAACATTTTTGTTTTTGTTTTTGTTCTTGTTTTCTTTTTCGAATACGAATGACAAATTTCGAAATTATATGAAACTAAACTTTTAAGGGTGGAAAAAATCAAAATTTAATAGCTTTTGAGTAAAATAAAAAATAGTAAAAATGGTACCTAATAATGGTACTTATGTGTTAAAATTTTATAACTAATAAATTTTTTTAAAGTGGAAATCGTAGTTTAAAAGAGCGGGTTTAATACTTTTATCTTTCCCAAGCTATAGTTAATTAACCTTGTCGCTCACTACTACAATGCCCAAGCTTACGTCGTTGAGAAGCAGGACCACGTGTATTTTTTTCGATCGTTACTATATGTTGGCAACTCCACAAATGTGCGTAGGTGTGCCTTGTTTAAGCTTCTGAAGCATCCCCGAGGGTTCAATGATGTGAGCAGTTCAGTCAAGCCTTTCTTTATTGTTTTCATCTCTGACGCCAATGTTTTTCCGATCTGTAGCTATAACAGAAATCCGCAGATATTCTGAGAATGTTCGCTAGGTGGCGACCTTATTACAGGAAGCCACAGCCTTCCTGGTTTGGTCGTTTGTTGTGAAAGGAACTAGCGTTTGGCCTTCTGTACTAGCGCATACCATTATTCATGTTTTGGGGCCGTAGGAGATGTTATCTTTTATCCATTATTGGTTCCACGAATAGTTTTAGAAATCCGCTGTAACCGGGTAAGGCTGAGTAGCAGCGAAAGGTCGCCTGCTCTCCAAAGACCTCTGGGTGTTACAAAGGAGCCAGTCTGGCTGATCCCCGGTGCGGCTCCTATGATACCTTGATTAAAAGTTCAACAACAAGTCAGCACAGATTAACTTGATCTTTTATAGAAAATTTCACAAGAAGAGTTGCCCGAGACATTCTACTGGACAGGACCTGTGAAAATTCCTTTACCACAGTCAAGATTCAGCAGCCAAGATTAATATTATTAAAAGTATTCAATGAAACAGGTTTTCTTAGTGTTTAAAAAATGCCCGTGTTTTGTAAATATACTCAGGGTCTTCCCCGGCTACCCGCGCTACTCCCTGAATACGTCAGAACCCTGCGGCTGAGAAAGATCCTGTTGTCTGTCCGCTCACATAAGCGTCTACCAAACTCACTTTTACAGTTACATATGCTTAAGTATTGTAGAAGAATATAAGTAGCCAGTACCATAATTTCTCAACCTTATTTTTATACCCGAGCGCACTTGTGCAAAAGGGTATTATAACTTTGTTCACATAACGGTTGTTTGTAACAGGCAAAACGAATGGAGATAGATATAGACAAATGTATACATAAATGATCAGAACGAAAAGAGAAATCGATTAAGCGGTGACTGTCTGTCCGTCCGTCCGTCCGTCTGTGCACACGATAACTGGAGTAAAAATTGAGATATCTTAACGAAACTTGGTACATGCACTTCTTTTGGGTGTAGGACGGACGGTATTGAAAATGGGCGAAATCGGACAATAACCACGCCTACCTCCCATATAACGGTAATTTTCAGAAATACGAAAACTGCGATAGTTTAGTAACTACTGAAGATAATTCACTCAAAATTGACACTTAGAATAAGTTTTAGACGAAAAATAAGAATATTATAAATTTTTGGAAAATGGGCGTAGCCACGCCCACTTATAGTTACATGTGTATATCTTGGTAACCGCCGCACAAATTTTTTCCAAACTTAGCACAGTTGTTGACCCTGGTACAGCATACCAAATGACCGAAAATTTTCAAAATCGGAAAATTACCACGCCCACATCCCATATAACGGTAATTTCGAGAAATACGAAATCCTCGATAAATCAGTAAATATTAAAGCTAATTTATTCAAAATTGATGGTTGCAACAATTCTTTACCAGGAAATACGTTTATGATAAAATTTTGGAAAATGGGCGTGGCACCGCTCACTTATGATCACACCTATGTATCTCGTTAACCGTTCTAGCAATTTGTACCAAACTCGGTATGGTTATTGTGCTTGCCACATAAAAGCAAACCGTTGAAAATTGTTGAAATCGGACTAAAATTACGGCCGCTTTTCATATAACGGTAAATTTCAGATATGCTTTAAATTTCAATATATCGAAATTTAAGGATGCTATTTTACTTAAAATTTATACACCCGCTTATCATGTAACGGTATCTTTCGGAAAGGTGGAAAACATATATTTAATACTTGCGCCGGGTATTTAATGTTCGGCTCCGCCCGAACTTAGACTTTCTTACTAGTTGTATTTGTTTTCGGTATATTTTAAAACCGACACTACGCTTCAAATATTTATTTATTACATTTATTTCAGGTTAGCACTGTACTTCTCTGCGGCATCCCAATAGTATCACTTTACATCGAGGGTCAAGAGCGTCTGTGCCTAGCTCAGATATCCAATACTCTTCTCAAACAGTACAGCTACAATGAGATTCACAACCGTCGTGTGGCACTGGGTATTACCTGCGTTCAATGCACTCCGGTACAGTTGGAAATTCTGCGACGTGCAGGCGCGATGCCTGTAAGTTCGCGTCGTTGTGGAATGATAACGCGCCGCGAGGCTGAACGGTTATGCAAAAGTTTTCTTGGTGACAATGCCCCTCCTAGATTGCCAGAGGATTTCGCTTTCACTGTATATCATAAGTGCGCTTGGGGTTGTCGTGGCTCTTTTTTGCCGTCTCGCTACAACTCATCTCGTGCGAAATGTATTAAGTGCAGTTATTGTGGCATGTTCTTTTCGCCCAACAAGTTTATTTTCCATTCCCATCGAATTAGCACTGGTGATAAGTACGTCCAGCCGGATGCAGCAAATTTTAATTCGTGGCGTCGGCACATGATCCTGAGCGGCCAACCACCAGAGGATATAGTGCACGCATGGGAGGATGTTAAGGCGATGTTTAATGGTGGCACGCGCAAACGACTTATGAGCCATGGTTCATCGGCGACGCAAGCTTCGATAGCGGCACAAAGACAACAACAACAAAAAGATCAGTTGAAACGCAATATGTGTGTCTCAACACCGGTAACAACCTCGCTGTCGACTGTGCCCAACGAGAGTGGCGGCGGCACATTTATCGCCGCAGCAGCAAAAAATACTTTAGGTCCACAGGTCACCAGCCATTATCACTATAATGGCATTGAATTATCCCCGCGCTGCAGTAACAGTAACCTGACTTCAAGCAACCCATCACCCCCGCCTACCAAGCGACAGTGCGATAAGCTTGAACATAATGTTGGGGCGCTAACAGCGGCAGCTGCTGCAGTGGTCAACGTCACAGCAGTTGCAGCAGCGGTAGGTTCCGTACGACCGCTAAACATTGGCGCAACTAGCCACGGTGTATCATACCATGGTCGGAGTGGTAACGTATCTACTCTGCAACTGAGAGACAACAATGAACACGAAATGACGGTAATGCCTCTCTCGCGCAACTTCATGATGGACTACATGTGGCATGCCCATGCTGCGCAAAATGCCGCAGTCGCAGCAGCGCATAAGAACCGAGGTAATAACACTAACGCAGGTAATGTTACTGTGCCCTTTGGATTCTCCGATTGTGCTATGAACTGGCTTAAGACGCCGTCGATGAACAATAATGCCACATTCTTCACTCAACTTCCTTTGGTAGCCAACAGCGGAACTACCGGTGGTCAAAGTAGTGATAGCAACGACTTCTGCCCGCAACTACAATATGGCGGTTTCAAGCCGAACGCGAGCACATCGACAGGCAACGGCTTAAATACCAGCAAAGGATTGGGGGGCTTGAACAAGTTTACTGATGCGAAAATAGCTTGTCTGCCTCAATTCCTCTCAGCGTCGGCATTCAAGCCAGTCTTGCAACAGAGTCAACAAAGTGCATTCGATGAAGTGAAAGCTGTCGCAGCAGCTTCGACTGCAGCAACTTTAACCACCTCGTCTGTTTATCCCAGCGCTGTGACAGAAAATTTCGAGATTGCAACCAGAACATCTCAAGAAAAGATTTCTTCCTGTGGATCGACGACAGTTGAAATGACACTGCCAACGATTGCTATTCCTCCACTCGGTGCTACAAGTACAACAAACTCCACAGAGACAAAAGCTAATGGTGCTGTGGCTGAAACTGCCTCCAAAGCAGCTGCCTCTCTTGCTTTCACAGTACACGCAAACTTTTGCGCTACTGCATCAAATGGAATGCTGTTTGGTGGCCCAATACCGCCGCCGGTGCCCCCGCCGCTTTCGTCTTCACTCTCAACCCTTCCTAACTCGCCTGGCGCGCCATATAGAGCACCTATACTAGCATCGACAGTATCTTCGCAGTTAGCTTTGAAGAAGTGCGAGAATGAAGTCATAGGCACTTCCATTAAAGGCTTTCACTCAACGGATGACGAAAATAACAACGACCCATGCGATGTCGACGACGATGAAGTAGTCGATATTGAGACAACGGAGGATGACACGCCTGCCAGCAAGAACTTAAAAGTGGCACTTAGCCTGACATCTTGCCCACACCGGGACGATGATGGCAAAAGTTCATCAGAGTTTTACAGTATCAACCGTTGCAATAATAACAATGACAAACAATTCATCGAATCTGTTATAGATACTTCCTCTGATGAATCACCTGCGCCAGCGTCTTCGGTAGCAGCACCCCCTTGGACAAATAGTTCAGCAAGTCCAGTGCCTAGGGATTGCTATAGATGTGAAGATCAACGAAAATCTCCAATACAATATTTCCAAGACAAATCAATACTAGGCAGCGCTGACGCAGATATCGCCGCTTGTCATACCGTTGTCCAGAAGCTCCAGCTCCACGCGCAATACAAAAACAGCAACAATCAACCACCGGAAGCGGGTGAGCGCTTTCAACAGTCTCCAACTTACAGCAGTACGTCTAACGATAGCTTCTATATTCAGGCAAAATTCGAAAGCAATAACAATTCATCCAGTTCTATTGAAATTATGGATACCAGTTCCATACAAGAGATAGTCCAACAACATAATGCGTATAATTTGGGATCATCACTTATGTGGAAGAAACTTCTGAATCCAGAGGTAAGAGTTGAGTTGATCTAATAGATTGGATTTGTTAAAACATGTGCACTCCTTATATTCAACTAGTTGACCTTTGAAAGGGGGAGATTTGATTTTTTATTTTTACGAGAAAGTAATTGGGTAATCTCTGACAATAGGGACTAGGGAGAGAAACAACACTAAATATGTATTCGTATCAGGGGCGAATGCAGAGAGTAGTTTTGGGGTTTATGCATATTTGAATACTTCGTGTGTAAAAATTTGAGAAGAAACATTTAAAAGGAAAAAGTACCTTTTTTTATAAATAAAAATATTTTCAACAAAAAATTTACTAACCGATTTTTAAAAAATTTATATCGTTGTAAATGCAATCAACCCTTCTTTCTTCTGAGATGCATATCTGTATACTTCGTGTATAATAATTTTAGAAAAAACACTTAAAAGGAAAAAATACCTTTTTTTTTAAAAAAAACTTATATTTTAAACAGAAAAATTACAAACCGATTTTTAAAAAATTGGTATCGTTGTAAAGGATACTACAAAACTTATACCTTCTTAAACCCGAAACTTTCTATTTTTTCCCTCTAAATAAACTCCTGCCTCCTAACTGAAGGGCTGGCTACGCCCTTGTATAATAAACAATTAAAGTATTTACAATGTACATCATACGGTCAGTTTGTTCTTTTAGAGCGCATACATGGCTCCATAATAATAATTCCAGCATCTTCATTTAAATATGTATATTGTAACTATCAATATCTTATAAAGAGAAGTGTAAAATTTTTTTTATCTAAAACTAATAAAGTTAGAAGGACGAAATTCGAGGATATGGTTGTTATCATATTAGTCCTTGACACATATTTTTTTCAAAAATAAATATTGGAAATTTCCAAAGTTTTAAAAGGACAATTTCAATATTTAGTCGTTCTTGTGCACCCAATGATTAAATTTTTTTCTATTCTACAGAATTTTTCCTTTTAGTTGATACCCATGTTGTTATTCTACAATGCACCGAATCTTTTGAATAATTTTTTTATTCAGTCATATTCTAAAAATTTCAAAGCCCCTTAAAAAAAATTATGACGTCAGAGAGAAAAACTAAAAACGCAGTTTTACTATATTTGGCCCCCAGTTTTGTGAATATTTTGATTTTTTTCGTGTGTAAAATCGACTGTCGCACGATGTTATTTATCTTTTTAAGAAAATGCGCGAGAAAAGCCAAAAAGTTCAGATTGTTTTCCGCCATGGACACCCGAAGTCGGTTTTTTATCAGCTTCTGTTTAGAAAATTACCTTTTTGCTGAACTGTTTCTGACCATAAGAGAAAGGTACATTCTCAATCTAACTTCTACATTTAGGAATCAAACAAAAGTTTGCACATCCATATTTCTTTGCTAACTTCTAGATTTTTTTCAAGGTCTGGTTCAAACTGGAAGCAACAATTATTTAATTGTACAACTTCGTTCCCTAAAATGTTGAAATGCTAGCTATTGATTCCCGAACGAAACGCATTAAAATAAACACTTCGATTTAATTTTTCAGTTTTATTTAAAGAAAAGAGAGATCCCGACGAGCGACATCAACTCCTCAAGGTTCAAAGTATTCTGAGCAACTATTACTAGGTTCTACGATTATTTATACACACGCTTAGATTCCACGCTTACGCCTCTATCTTTCTATGCTTACGCCTCTATGCTTAACATAATGATTCACGTTGGGTGTTCCNCGACTGTCGCACGATGTTATTTATCTTTTTAAGAAAATGCGCGAGAAAAGCCAAAAAGTTCAGATTGTTTTCCGCCATGGACACCCGAAGTCGGTTTTTTATCAGCTTCTGTTTAGAAAATTACCTTTTTGCTGAACTGTTTCTGACCATAAGAGAAAGGTACATTCTCAATCTAACTTCTACATTTAGGAATCAAACAAAAGTTTGCACATCCATATTTCTTTGCTAACTTCTAGATTTTTTTCAAGGTCTGGTTCAAACTGGAAGCAACAATTATTTAATTGTACAACTTCGTTCCCTAAAATGTTGAAATGCTAGCTATTGATTCCCGAACGAAACGCATTAAAATAAACACTTCGATTTAATTTTTCAGTTTTATTTAAAGAAAAGAGAGATCCCGACGAGCGACATCAACTCCTCAAGGTTCAAAGTATTCTGAGCAACTATTACTAGGTTCTACGATTATTTATACACACGCTTAGATTCCACGCTTACGCCTCTATCTTTCTATGCTTACGCCTCTATGCTTAACATAATGATTCACGTTGGGTGTTCCACTTAGGGTTCGATCGCCGTCACTCAATTCCTTGCTCAATGATCGCACTCTAACAGCCGCACTCAACGCAACGTTCCTTAAATTAGCTCTAACGGGCACTTAACTAATGTTCGTTAAATCTGTTAATTAATGTTTCCTCTCAGAGTTAAAATTTATGAAATAAAAAATTTAAGTATGGCCCCAGTTGCGGCCCTTCATTTTTGTGGCATCACTCACTTTTTTCGTTCAGTTTGAAATAAAATATAAAAATAAGTATTTATATAATTTTGCGCGCACTTGCTCAACAGACGCAATGGCTGAGTGAGCAGAGCACTGGCGTGCCATTCAAGAGATCCGAAGTCGAGTCCTAGG